TCAAACCAAGACTGGGCCGACCACCATGGGGCCACAAGGACGACTCTCCTGCGATAAGACTCCAAACAAGCCAAAATCCAAAACAACATCTGAACCAGGGGGAAAGAGGTACAAGTAATCCCACCTCAACCAGTCCTGTCGAAAAGCGTCCACCGCGACGGCTCCGCAGTCGGGGAAGAACGCCACATTTATTGAGAGATGCCGGGGCCATGCTAACGCAAAGAGATCCACTTTAAGGGCTTTGTACGTTCGGCAGAGCCAACTGAAGGCGTCGGCGTCTACCATCCATTCCGTGGACAGGGGAATGATACGTGGCAGGCTATCCACCAGGACGCTGGACATTTTCCAGATATGAACCATGCGGAGAGACAAGTCACTGGAAGTGACCACAATCAGTAGGCAACACCACAATCGGCAGACAACACCACAAGGGCACAATGCATGGCAGGAAACCGAGGCCAGAGTTGACAACCGCCCCAGCAAGCTTCAGTCTGCTAACTGGAGAGTGGGCAGCCAGTGCGAGAGTCTGGGGCTTCCTCTTCCCCCGGGGTGGGGAGGGGGGCCTGCACAGAGAAGCAGTGCAGTGGGGTGATGACGTTTGCTCGTTTTAGGGAGTTCTGGCTCCCTGTTCGGTCTTGGGTTGCAATTTTCTACCTACAAAGTGGGGTTTGTTTTGGGATGCCTATTTTTCTGGGTGTCTAACCCCCAGTCGATGGCAGACATTGAATACTCCCAAACTCAGGAGGAGGGGGGGGTTCCTTAGCCATTGCTCCCTGTGCCTCTCTGAGGGGGGCCAGGTTCTGGCTTGTGGACCCCGGTAGGCAGAAATCCTTTGACTGAAGCCCCAGATTAATATAGGTAATATCAGTCCGATGGCTCCAGGGAGCTGAAGAGACTCCCACAGAAAAAATATTAGAAAGTTTTCTTTTGCAAACAATGGTAGACAGTTGGAACAAGTTAAGTGAGAAGGTGTTGGAGGCCACAACTGTCAGTAGTGTCAAAGCGTTATACGACAACGAGAACTGGGAAGACGGGACACCACGAACGTAGCTCTCATCCTGTAACTACACTTAGGTAATTATTCAGCTAGGTACTCAATTTATTAACATAGCTTACATTGATACTGTATTCGAGTCCCAAGCTCTACTTGGAAAAGGGGGCAGCTGAAAAGGTGATAAACACTGGTGGAAATGTGTGAGGGCCAGGTTGTGGCTCTGATAAGCAATATGGACTCCTAGGGCTGAGACTCTTGTGAAGCTACCTCGGTGACCTCATTACAAGAAACAGAAACAGACGAGTGAATGAAAGAGTTTAAGTCATTCTTGCCAGTTTAAGGTGCTAGGGTTTGAGGTGACATTCGATTCTGGCTCCTCAAGACGCTGCATTTACTGGTTCCAGAGAACCCGGTAAAACATAACATTACTTAAAACATTTTTCTCAGCACCAGGAATAAAATCAATTATTAAAGCAAACTGCTTGAAGTGATGACAATGAACTGTGGCAGGGAAAAGGTTAAGCAGAATGTGGATAACAAAAACATATGATGATGGGTCTGAGACAAGTTAAATGACATATAGTGGTACCTAAGTTTACGATTGCCTTAAATTACGATTTTTTTTGGTAAACAACTTAAAATTCCTCGTAAAATTCCTTGGTGCATGACGTTTGCCTTGGAATACGATGTCTGTTGATACCCGTATGGGTTGAGCGAGCGTATGGTGCTGGGTGCAGGCGAGGCATGCTCAGTTTACCAGTGCCTCACATCTAGTGACGACAGTGCTTGAATTCTTTTAAAGAATTTAATTGTTTTTTCTGCTTTTTGTGGTTTCTAAACAGTAAAGTTCTTATTATATATCATGCCATGGGTCCCAAGAAAGTCCGTAGTAAGGTTCATCCTAAGAAAATAGTCAAGTAGAGGCAGTAGAGGATGCCCCTGCCTGATTAAGAAAGTGTGCAGTATGGGAAGAAGTGCAAAGTTTTGTTGAAAAAACCCGCCCAGATAAAGCTGTAGCAGGCCATTGCATTAACCTTTTTAATGACAATGTGATGTCTTGCTACAGACAAGTAATAATAATAATAAATAATAAATGTTTATTCAGCTAAGGTACATACATACAAGAGATTTTACAAAAATTGATAGATTTATGGATAGAGCTAGTACATACAATGCCTAAAGCCACTATTACGCAAAGCGTTTCAGGCAGGAAAAGCATTAAAGACTAAAACTTAATACTAATTGAGTTTAAAGCATAAAATGTGTTGAGAACAAATAAAAATAAAAGTAAAAAAGGGGGGAAACATGGCTGAAAAAGCAGCACAAATACAATTAGGTCGATAAACAGCGTTGTTTAAAAAAACAGACATGGGTTGACAATATATCTTGAGGTTATCTCGAGATGATTTCGGGGCTTTAGTGTCCCCGCGGCCCAGTCCTCGACCAGGCCTCCACCCACAGAAAGCAGCCCGTGACAGCTGACTAACACCAAGGTACCAATTTACTGCTAGGTAACAGGGGGCATAGGGTGAAAGAATCATCCCTGGAAATTCAGCTTGTGGTCAATGAGAATGCCAAGGAATTTGCCATCTATTTTGTTACAAATTTGGGTTTGTTTATTCTGAGATTTATTTGATTAGAAGATTTATTGCCAAACAGAATATAGAAAGTTTTGTCAATGTTAAGGGTAAGTTTGTTGGCAGTTAGCCAAAGATGGACTTTATTTAGCTCAGTATTTACTGTGGCATTTAGAGCAAGGGGGTCCAGTCTGGAGTAAATGAAGGTTGTGTCGTCAGCAAATAGAATTGGTTTGAGGTGTTGGGAGGCATTTGGAAGGTCATTAATGTAGACGAGAAAGAGGAGAGGGCCAAGTATGCTGCCTTGAGGAACACCGATGTTGATGGGTAGGGTGGGAGAAATCGAATTATTCACAGAAACATACTGGAGCCTGTCAGTAAGGTAAGATTTGAGGTATTGCAGGGAGTGACCTCTGACTCCATAATGATGTAATTTAAGAAGAAGGTTTTGGTGGTTGACAGTGTCAAAAGCCTTACGCAGGTCCACAACAGGGAACTCATTTTTATCAAGAGCTGCATGAATCAAGTTAATCATACTAATAAGTGCATCGTTAGTGCTTTTTTTGGGTCTGAAGCCATATTGACAAGAGCTAAGTATATTGTGTTTGGCTAGATAAGAGTAAAGCTCCTTGTAGATTAGTTATTCAAATATTTTTGACAAGTTAGGCAGGATTGATATAGGTCTGTAGTTGTTAACATCTGTGAGATCACCACATTTTAGTTTGGAGTTCAAGTGACTTGTTGAAGAACAATGCAATAGCAGGGGCTAAAGATCTGGAGGTTTTTTGTAAATTAAAGTTGGTATCTCCTCAAGGGCACTAAGACTTGGATTATCTCATTAACGAAAGGATTATCTCATTAACGTCGGTGGAATTTGTAGGCTTTAGGTACAGAGACTGTGGATAGTTACCTGTAAGATAGTCCTTAACATCAGTACTAGAAGATGGAATATCATTTGCAAGGGATGACCCAATGGAAGAGAAGAACCTATTGAATTCAATAGCAGAACCAGAGGCTAAAAGCTGACCATCGTTATTGAACAGGAGTGTTGGTTTGTTATTTAAAATCTTCTTTGATCCCAATACTTGTGAAATTGTGCTCCAGGATTTTTAATGTTGCTCTTTATTTGGGTAAATTTATCTTCGTAGTATTTAGTTTTGGCTCGTCTAATTATTTTAGATAGCAATAACGAGTAATTCTTTGAGAATTCTTTGGAGACGGTTCCTAACCTATACTTCTTCTCAAGGCCATGTTTTTTATTAATGGATTTAAGTATTCCCTTTGTAAGCCAAGGATTGTTAAGTGTTAAAATGTAGGGAAAAATAAGTGTCTTTGGACAGATTCTTAGACAAGCAAGCAGGGAGCCACAACTAGGTCCTAGTGGTATGCAGACAAAATGCAAAACGTAGGAGTAGGTGCCCCAGAAATGTCATCACTGCCTGATGTTATAATGGAATGGGACTCCCCTTTCAAACACTAACACCTCTCCTCCCTTTCCCCCCTCCTCACTGTCTTCCAAACGCAAACAACGAGTCCTCAATAGAGGCAAGATATATCGTAGTATAACATATGGGTAGTATTCTGTATAACATGTATTTGACGTTAATATTTTTGGGTGTGTAATTCATTATTTCGTGTGTGAAAATTCGTTTTGGTTTAAGATTTTTTGGTTTACGACCCGTCTCTTGGAACGGATTAAAGTCGTAAATGAAGGTACCACTGTATAGGCCATCATGATGAGCAGAAGCAAACAATAAATTGAATATGAATACAAGCCAAAATTTTAAACTTGCAGACAACTTTTTTCAAGGTAATAAACAACAGTGAATAAATTACATATCATAATTTGTAGACATTAAATTCATTGTAGGTTAAACATAGCAAAAACTGGACACATTTAAAATAATTATAGCATGTAAAAAAGTATAATCATGAATGAATTACAAATTTAAAAAATCTAAAAAGCACTCTAGCAAGGATTACTCAAAAGAATATAAGGGTAATTATTATAACACGTTGACAATGTACCTTAGAAGATCTATGTTAATTCAGTTTAACTTTCAAAGAAGGATTCAATATTTACATTTCCATACGGCATAACTAGAGTTTTTTTTTTTTTTTTTTTTTTTTTTTTGAGATATATAAAAAGAGTTGTTACATTCTTGTACAGCCACTAGTACACATAGCGTTTCGGGCAGGTCCCTGAAATACGATCCCCTGCCGCGAAGAATCGTTTTTTCATCCAAGTACACATTTTACTGTTGCGTTAAACAGAGGCTACAGTTAAGGAATTGCGCCCAGTAAATCCTCCCCGGCCAGGATACGAACCCATGACATAGTGCTCACGGAACGCCAGGCGAGTGTCTTACCACTACACCACGGAGACTGCTACAGTTAGATTATACTTTGCTACAAATCAATCAACTTACACAAGTTGTCAAGACACCATTGTGCACAGAAACCAACTTGGCGGTGCACAAAGTCTGTGTGATTCATCCATGATTCTAGCGTCCTAAGTGGGTTACACACACCCTGACTGAGGCACTGCCTGATACTCGTCTTGTTCTCACTCGTCTGGGCAAACTTCTCGAGGGCTATCAGTGCGAAGAGGATCACACACGGATGGTTACTCTCATTCTGTTGGCACAAAAATAACTGGTAATAAATAATAGAGATATTATAAATTAAGTGATGAATGTAATCAAAGCTTTTTCTGGAGGGCCTCCCTCGGTAGCTTCCCGATGCTTCTCTTGGAATATAACTCCAGGAAAACACGACAGTAATTAAATTTAAATAAGAGTGTAGGCCAAAAACCTGGCATTGAATGTAATTAAACGCTTATTTGTAGGTGAGCCCCAGTGACTCTTTGAAGATGCACACCGAAATGGTTTCCATCTACCAAGTCGCATCAGTTGTGGAGTTCTTAGGCTGAGTGGGGACCAGAGCAAGAACCTGGCCTCACTCTCTGCGGTGCAGGGAGCAGTAGCATTTCGCCACCTCATTGGGAAAGTCATCCAGAAGGTCTGCGAGTCAAAACAAACCATTGCCGGGTTCAAAAGAGACTGAAATCTCAATCTGCCTAATGAATTCCCCCAACTATGTAAATTAATAATCAAAACTTGCTCCTTGGCACTCACCTCCCCTCCACTCATTTGGAAGTTAGGGGGATCACTTCCTCCAGGGGTCTGAGCTCTCAGTTCTGGAGCAGAGATACAAACAAGACCCAACAGACTACCTGGGAGTTACCGGGACTCACCTGTAAGATGGCATTTACCTGCCAGATGGGGTTCTGGGAGTTGTTCTACTCCCAAAGTCCGGCCCAAGGCTAGGCTTGACTTGTGAGAGCTTGGTCCACCAGGCTGTTGCTTGGAGCGGCCCGCAGGCCCACATACCCACCACAGCCCAAGTTGGTCTGGCACCCCCTTGAAGAAAACAATCTATATCTCTCTTGAAGACATCCACGGTTGTTTCGGCAATATTATGCTTGGTGGGAGTATGTTGAACAACCGCGGACCTCTGATGATTATAGTGTTCTTTGATTGTGCCTATGGCACCCCTGCTCTTCACTGGTTCTAGTATTTTCCACGTGTATATTATTTGATATCTCTCTCGTCTCCTTTCTAGCGAGTATATTTGGAGAGCTTTGAGACAATCCCAAACTTTTAGATGCTTTAATGTGTCTATGTATACTGTATATATGTTCTCTGTACTCTATTTCACCAATTTCTCTCCTGCTCTGGAGGGGAAAGTGAGTATCGAGCAGTACTCAAGATGGGACAGCACAAGTGATTTGAATAGTATAACCATTGTGATGGGATCCCTGGATTTGAAAGTTCTCGTAATCCATCCTATAATTTTTCTGGCCGATGCAATATTTGCTTGGTTTTGCTCCCTAAATGTTAGGCCTTTAGACATCATTATCATATTCATCATTTTCACATGTGATATTTCATCACATTCAATGCTGGTTTTCTGGGGGTAACTCATTATTGCAGTTCTCTGAAGCTAATGACCTATTGAGAAGGAAGAATACATCAGAACTTATTAGAAAGGAGGGAACCACATAAGTCCGGACGAAGAATAGACCCCCCCCCGCCCCGGATAAGAGACATGACCAAAGGCCACACACAAACACTGAAGCCCAAGAACATTCATCAAATATTGTGCCACCACAACCCTGATAAGACTACCAAAACCCCTGCGCCCAAGTATCGGCCCAGGACACATTAGCAAACACAGCCGTGAGAGCAGCATACTTCCAAACATCATAAGCACGAGGATAGACTGCAGGCTGGCCAGACTAAACTTAACACTGCGGATGACCTGAGATATAAGAGCCATGGAACAGGGAACAAAGGAAAACAGGATCAACCCACAAACGTCTAACGAGGCAGAATCAGTAGCATGAAGGTAGCAGCGTAGAACCACCACCGGACAGAGCAAATGACGAACTCCATCATTTTGAACCGTTTGACACTGGTTCTTCTCCCCCGTATTGAGCATGTTATGAGATTTTGGAGTCTTCCTGGCTGGCAGACTGCCCCTTTTTCTCTATCTTGGAGCTTTGCGTGGCTTTTGTCGTACCCGGACGCTTGAGTGGCAGAAGGTTTCTTCGGTGTTGCAGGTATTATTAGGGGGCTCATTTGAGTTCTCAATGAGTGCCTTTTTGCCCCTGTGCTTTCTCGTGATGTGGGTCTAGTGTAGTTGCATGCTCAGGTTCCCACTCTTTCAGTTACCTTGGCAGCTGAGGACCTTCGAACTTGGCGTCTTTATAAGACCTCCTCAAGATTAAGGAGGTCTCAAAATTAAGGTGGGGAGGTTGCAAAGGAGGTCTCAAAATTATGAGACCTCCTTAGCAAAGTGGTGGAGCCCCACCAAATTAATATGATTGGTTTACTGTCCCTTTTACAAAATATATAAGGTGGTCTCATAATTTTCCACTGCAAGGGTGGTCCGTGGATGGACTTCCCCAGGCCATCAAAATTTGATGTGACAACCTTGATCCCACACATAAGCTCTAAACCCTGTTGTCTGACCTTTAGCAAGAATCAGGTCAGAACTACACTCTCACTCCCAACAACTAGATTGTCCATGTATAATAATACAAGATCTATAAACTTCTTAAACCTGCTTAGCTTGTTACACTTGGAAAGAACCAAATCCCTGGCTAGTAAACATGCAGACTAACTGGAAGCTCACACCAGCCAGCAGTGACTTACCAAGTGTGCCACCAAGTACTGGAGGGTAGTGTGGGTGAGCAGTGCTATGGAGGCTGGGCCAGCAAGTTTCTCAGCAATACACCCCAAGACAACACAAATGTTGCGATGAAGGCGGGGCTCCTTCCAACTATCCCCTGCACTATCGCCACCCAACTTGAAAAACTTGCTCAGATGAACGACTGTTTCCTATAAAAGAAATTACAAAATATTTGTGAGGATCTATTCCATCTAAAAAATATGAAAAATTATTGCAACAGTAGTAAAAACTATTTATGTCTGTTGATAAGAAAATCAGCTCCCTGAAGCTAATGTGCCGAGATTGCTCCACACTCAAAGATTAAGTTAGTTGTGTAAGTTGTGCTTGGTCTACCGAGGACCAGAGCCTGAACCTGCCCCCCCCCCCCTCCCCTCACAGAAGCACAGGGTGCGGGTGACAATCTGGCACCCCTTATCATTCAGTTAACTTTCGATGATTCCAATGATCAACATCCCTATGGCCCAATATCTGATCAGTCCTCCCGAGGCCAGATTCACGAAGCAGTTACGCAAACACTTACGAACCTATATATCTTTTCTCACTCTTTGGCGGCTTTGTTTACAATTATTAAACAGTTAATGAGCTCCGAAGCACCAGGAGGCTGCTTATAACAATAACAACAGTTAATTGGCAAGTTTTCATACTTGTAAACTGTTTAATAAATGTAACCAAAGCCGTCAAAGATTGAAGAAAGATGTACATGTTCATAAGTACTTGCGTAACTGCTTCATGAATCTGGCCCCAGGTTGGTAGTCTGGTCAACCACCAGAAAAAGTTAGCGCAGCTTTACATACAACAGGAGGTTTACAGAAAACAAATACTCAAAATCACCAAATAACTCTCCAAACACTTCACACAGAACATAAATGTGTTACGACTCAGCGTAAACCAATTATGGCTGGATACACTGTGATATACTTGTTAACCAATTGAACATATGACACCATTTATTTACATATATTGTGATGGGATTGCTATTGCTATACGTGTTGTGGATGTATATTTATGTTGTGTCTGTATTTAATATTTCGATAGATTGTTTTGGACGTCTGTGAACTACTGTACATGTTTGAACGTCGTGCACGTGTGTGCACTGGCCAGTGTGGTGTGTTTGTGTCTTGTGCTTCAGAGCACCTAACCTGGGTTGGGGGCCTGCCAATATTTATTTAACTGCTGTTGCAAGTTATTATTATTATTATTACCCACAACATCTGCGTATGTTATAGTTCTGACGTTCTTGACTCGGGTCTATTTAAATTGTACTTTTTAGTACCCCGAGAGGATATAAAGTATTATGTTAAGTTGGTACTGTGCAGTTGACCTGTGGGGGGTTGACTAGCTGCCTGCCTTCACTGGTCTGAAAGTCATGATAGCATTAAGTGGAAAATTTTGGTGCTCTGTTGAGCAAGTAGGAATATTTGTATTTTGTCGGGTAAGGTAAAACAGTGATTATTTGTGGATTATTGTATTAAAGATATCTTGAGGTTATCTCGAGATGGTTTCAGGGCTTAGCGTCCCCACGGCCCGGTCCTCGACCAGGCGTCCTTTTTGTTACACATCCCCAGGAAGCCCGTAGCAGCTGTCTAACTCCCAGGTAACTATTTACTGCTATATAGTGTATAATTTTATATATTTTTAGACTTTTAAATCTCATGGTTAAGCGATGTGTTCTATATTTTCCTTTGTGTGGACTTTTTTTTTTTTTTTAAGTCATTTGGGAATTTAACTTTTTCAAGGAGTTTTGACTTTATCATTTGCCTGTCCAATTGGGACTTAGTTTCTTGAGGGCAAAGTGTTTAGTTGCAGTTCCTTGTTGCTTAGTTAATATTAATATTTTCTAGCCAGCCTGGTTGACCAGACAACCAGCCGGAAGGCCTAGTTGGAGACCGGGCCGTGGGGCCGTTGATGACAGGACACCACGAGCGTAGCTCTCGTCCTCTAACTACACTTAGCTAATTAGTTTTTACTTTGATTTTTGTGCTTCCTGGAGGCTAATTAACAATGTCAAAAGAACAAGTACTTTTTTCTTGGGGGACCACGGGGCTGCCAGCATTTAACAGTTGCTCCGTTTAAGGGTTAATTTCATGTTGAAAGCAATAAATAAAACCCTTGCAAGACCATACTGTAAGTAGGATGACAAACCTTGCTGGGTAATGGGCAGTCGTCCAGCAGGAGTGTGATGACAGCTGGCCCAAGAGGGTCATTCAGGGGAATTACTTGCACCATCGACCGCACAACTACAAGCCAACCAGCTTCCTTGTCTGCTATGGAGTGCAGCTGAAGCATTGAGGGTGGAGGATCCTGATCACTGTAAAAGGGTACAATAATTTCATACACAGTATAGTCCATAAATTTGTACTAACTTTAATTACACAGAAAAATACACTAACATGATATACTGTATATCAAAGAGAAAGTCCACTGGGGCTCTGAGGCTCTCACTAGCTCTCACTCAGCTTGTGAGGAACTCTCACTAACTTTAATGTAAGTAATAAAGTGACCGGACTTGTTCCTTTACAATAAAGAGCAGAACCACAGGGAATATATTAATGTTGTACATGATAATGATTATGAGTTAGATCAGTCTCCAGACACAACCTGGTGAAGCCACGAGTGGCAGGTGCATCCCACCGAGCAGCCGTGGCCCAGGTGTGGGGGTCAGGGAATGGAAGCAATCTGCAATCCCCTCCCCTACTACTAGAAGCAAAGGGCGCAGAAGAATGTTGCATTCTTGTCCTAATTTCTAGCAAAATTAATTATACTCGGTAATACAGTAATAACAAATGTCATTGAGAAGACATTGCAGCATCAAAGTGCTTTCCACAACATGGTAGTTTGATCTAAAAATTATTTACGTAGTTTTGGAAAAAGGGCAATAACTAACAATAGTTAAATTGTTTGTTTTCATCTTACACCTGGCAGAAGCATATCATTGTAATCTACAAGAGGGTGGAGGAGGCTACTAAAAATGGGGAATGTTGCATATTTGAGGGACAGACTTTCAAGCCACAAAATCAGAGACCAAAAAAACAGCCCTGCATCAACTGTAATGAAATGCCAATTTCTGTCGAGCCTCCAGTGGTTCCCAAATGCTATCTCGTTAAGATGGTTCCCAATTACTAGATTGCAACATCCTAGAAGTTCAGTTCAGATTACGGGGTAAGAGAGCCAGAACCTGGCACCCTCAGAGAGGCACAGGAAACAGGTAACACTCCACTACCTCACCAGGAAAGGCACCCAGAAAGTCAACAAACCAATACATACCAAAGCTTGGTTCAAAAGAGACTGAAGCCTCACAAACGACCAAAAGAACTAGCCCAACAATGTAATCAAAGATCTAATTTCTAGAAACAAGTGTATGCTCATTTACCCCCATCCCTTCCACTCGTTTAGGGAAAAAGGGTGGGGGTGGGGGATCATGCTATCCACTGACTAGAGCAATCAGTTTTGAAGCAGATACACACACAACTGACAACCTGGGAAGGAGAAAATCAGGAAGCCATAGGACCTCACAGAAAATGGCATTTCATTACATAAATGCAGGGTTTCTGGAGAAGAGCTCTTTGTGGCTTCCTGAAGCTGAACCCACAGAAAATGAAAAAGAAAGGACTCCCCAAGAAGGAGGAGGAACAGCAGGTAGGTACAACAAGGCCGAGGCAACAGGTCAAGAGAGACAACACAATGCAACCCAAGGGTGACGAGGCTCGGGAAAATGAACCAAGTACTAGATCGCCAGAACCCCGTTCGACCGGCAGAACCCGTGGGCTCCAATATCAACCTAGGACATATTAGCAAAAACATCTACACGAGTGGTGTACTTATGAACATCATGGGCACGAGTATAGACTGCAGGCTGGCTAAACTTTATAACACTACAGACAACCCGAGAGACAAGAGCCTTTGAACAGGAAACCAAGGAAACAGTATCAACACACAAAGCATCCACCAAGGCAGAATCAGTGGCACCGATCATGCTCTCAATGTTCAGTCCAATAATTCAGGAGTGGTCACGTGGTGTATTCCTTGTAAAATGCTGGAGAAAGTAATCAGGTCAAGAATGGTGGAGCATCTTGGTAAAATTGACTTTGTGACCAAAAATCAGCATGGATTTAGAAATGGAAAGGTATGCTTGACAAGATTGAGTTTTATGACAAGGTTACCAAAATAAGACACTAAATGGAAATCTGGGTAGACTGTATTTTTCCAAGACTGCCAAAAGGTATTTGACACTGTTCTCCATGGAAGATGTGTACAACATGGAGAACCAGGCTGGGATAACTGAATACACTGAACTGGGTAAGGGAAGTATTTGAAGGACAGAAAGCAGAGTCACAGTCAGAGAGGTGGTTTCAAGCTGGAGGGATCTAACAAAGGGTCCCACAAGGCTCTGTCGTGGAACCACTGCTGCTCCTAATTTATGTGATTGACCTATCCGAGGGGGGTGAGCTCAGACATGTCAATGCGTGCAGATCATGCAAAGCTCACGAGAAGCATGAAAACAGACGAGGGCTGCAGAAAGTTACGGGATGACCTTGACAAACTCCAGGAGTGGTCAGACAAATGGTTACTAGAATTCAATCCCAATAAGTGCAAGGTAATGAGGATGGGAAATGAAGAGAGGAGACCAGAAGGCATCTACACCATACAGGGAAGGCAGCTACAGGAATTAAAAAGGGAGAAGGATCTGGGAGTGGATACAATTGCGACACTCGCACCAAAGGTAAAAACAAACTGAATGACACAGGCAGCATATTGGATGCTGGCAAATATAAGAACACAGTTTAGGAACCTGACTCAGGACTCCTTCAAAGCAATCTATACAACATTTGTTCAACCAATAATGAAATATGCAACACCGGTATAGAATCCACACCTTGTGAAGCATAAAGCCAAAACTCAAAAAACCAGCGTTGAATGTAATGAAACGCCATTTTCTGGGCGAGTCCCGGAGGCTCCCCGGAGCTATCCCAGGCTGATATGCTAATGTCAGACTTTGGCATCAGTCATGTGTATGGAGTTCTTAGGCCTACCGGGGACCACGGCCAGAACCGGGCCCCCTCAGAGAGGCAAGGGGAGCAATGGCCTATAGAAGCCCCCGTGTAGTTGGAAGCATTCTATGTCTGCCATCGACCGGAACAGGCACCCAGAAAGGTAAGCGCCCCAAAACAAACCCCTATTCTGGTTAAAATTGCTACCTAATACCGAACTAGTGGATAGAACTCCCCAACCGAAAACAAGCAAATTAGTGTGACGTCACACACTGCCGCGCCGCTGTCTGCGCAGCTCCCCCCTCCCCGGGAGGGGGAAGGGGGAGCCCCAGACCCCCCGCGCCGGCTACCCACACCTCAGTTCTTGAGGCTGGATGTCACAAACGCGAAAAACCGCCGACCGGAGGGAGGGAGGGATGCCGGGGAGCCTCCGGGACTCACCCAGAAAATGGCGTTTCATTACATTCAACGCTGGTTTTCTGGGGGGAGCCCCGTCGGCTCCCCGGAGCTAACTACCCACAGACAGAAAAAGAGGGACTTACCCGGGAGGCGGTCGTCGCTCACCCCTCAACTCGAAGCCGAGACAACTGGCTGCAACCGCCGACCCAAAGCAACACAGGCCCGACGAGGGCCAGGGACATTCACAAGGTAACGAGCAGCCAGGACCCTGTTCGACCGCCAAAATCCCCGCGCCCGAATATCAGACCAAGACATATTCCCAAAGACGGCAGCAAGAGCCGCGAACTTACGAACGTCATGGGCACGGGGATAGACCGCAGGCTGGCTAGACCTAATAACCCTGCGGACGACCTGAGAGACCCGAACCCGTGAACAGGGAAGAAGGGAAACCGGATCAACCCACAGCGCGTCCCCGGACACAGAAGCTGTGGCGCGCAAATAACGGCGAAGCGCCGCAACCGGACACAAAACATGATGCACCCCTGGCCTGACCAACCAAGCATCAACCACCCATGGACCTCTCCGGAACGCAGCAGTCTCATTCTTCGCCAGAAAAGAAGGAGACGGCTGCAAACGAACAAAACTATCACCACGACCAAAAGAGCAGAAACCCCTGCGCCGGAGGAGAGCATGAAGCTCCCCTACCCGACCCCCAGAGGCCAAAGCCAACAAGAAAAGTGCCTTGGAAAAACAATCCTGGACCGAAGGGGCCACAACGAAACGAGGAGATGAAAGGAAAGCGAGCACTCTGTCCAAAGACCAGGACGGCTCAGGCGACGCATGAGCAGGCCGGAGGTGAAACAATGCACGAGACAGCTTGCGAAACGGCGCAGACGTAACATCGATACCGAAAGCAAGCTGAAGCGGCTCCGCCAGCGCCGCACGATACGAAGCGACAGTGTTAGGCATAAGATGACGGTCCTGAAACAACCACGAGAGGAAGGACAAGACCACCCGAACAGACAAGGAGCTAACACGACGAAGACGCAAAAAGAAACGGAAGGACCGCCAGGAAACTTCATACTGCCGCCGAGAAGAAGCCCTCAGGTGGGACACCAACAAGGAGGCCACCTGATCACCATAGAGATGATGATAGACTCGAGTCAAAAAAACCATACGCGAAGACTCGAGGAGAAGATCAAACCAGCTACGTGACGTACCGGCCCGATCTGCTGAAAGAGGCGGAGCCGCGGGAAAACCCTCGGGTTCGGACACCGAGCAACCAGCGCCTGAAACCAAGGCTGGGCCGGCCACCAAGGGGCCAGAAGGACAACTCTCCCCTGGTAAGTCTCTAAGCGAGTCAGGACCTGGAGCAACAGCCGAACTGGGGGAAAGAGGTACAGGAACCCCCACCTCGACCAGTCGAGCCAAAAGGCATCGACCCCGACGGCCTCGCAATCGGGGAAGGGCGCCGCATAAACGGGAAGACGCCGCGACCACGCCGACGCGAAGAGGTCCACCTCGGGGCGCCCGAACGTCTGGCAAAGCCAACGGAAGGACTCGTCGTCGACCGTCCACTCCGTGGAGAGGGGAACGAAGCGAGACAGGGCGTCGGCCAAGACGTTGGACACGCCCCGTACGTGAACCGCCAGGAGAGCCAAACCCCGAGAACTCAGCAGACGAGTCACCCGAAGCGACCAACCCCAAAGAGACAAGGACCGCATCGAACCCCCGCGGTTCAGGCAATGAACCACCGGAGAGCAGTCCGAATGGAGCCGAATCGTCGATCCGCGGGCCACCCGAATCCTCCCCAGAGCAAACCACACTGCCGCGAACTCCCGCACCGTACTGTGAGCTCGATGGAAGGACGGATCCCAACGCCCCTGGCCGGCCTGGTGAGCACTGGTCACAAAACCCCAGC